TCCACTTTGAAGAGAAATTCTTTGACAGAACATGTTTGATAACTCGACTTAGACGAAATGCATTACCTAAGGTACGTTCCACTTGGCGATCGCAACGCTTGTGGAATCTTTGTCTTTGTTTTTCATCGAAAGTTAAAAAAGATAGATAATGTTCACGAGCGTTGCGATCACCAAGTGGAACTCAGCCCTAGTGTATAATAACAACAGCATCGTATAACGATAACCAATCAGATTCAGGCACAGTATCATGGCGGACCCCCCCGCATTTTGGCTTCACTCCCCTCGTCTATCAACCAAGTTTACGCTCCGTCCCTATATTCCTATGTCCATGGTAAAATGCGGGCATGTCCACTCTCAGTCTTCTCTCTGATAAAAGCATAAATGTAAAAAATCAATTCTCGATGCTAGAATTCAGTCCGAGTTCTCGGACATTTACATTTTGAGCTTTCCAATAGTACAGTTTTAAAAACTAGTCTAGAAAATAAAAAATTATAAAAACTTTTATAAGAGTAAATATATTTATGATATTTGATATTGATATTTATGATATTATGATCATACTGAAAAAAATTTAGAAACACCCCAGATAGCACATGTCCGTTTTATATATGGTTTTTAAACGTACATCTCTAAAAATCTCTAAAAATTATTATTTTGTGATTAAATTTTTCAGATATTACTAAAAGAGTTGTTAATTGAGTAATTGAATTTAGCGCCATTATAGATGTCGCTATAACATCATAGTTGTTCGGTTCTAGCTTCACTTTTTCGAACAAATGTTCCTTCCTCTTGTACTCTTTATTCTATGATGCTATCAGAACCGGCAATTGGGAACTGTAAGTGAAATGGACGAAGATAGCGACACGAGAGAAGAGCAACCGCATTTAGAAAAAATGGCGGCGTTCACGAAAGCCATGCAGGTTTCTAGAGGTGTAAACAATATAACAAAACTTTTCACGAATCTGTCTTTGACTTCGAATATCATCACTTCTCCTAGACATGTGTTTCTTCGCAGGTTCGCATTGCGCCATTCTTAGTCTGTCAATTATATACTTTTTATTCATTACCTATATTATTTTGTCCACTTCGATCGATATGTATTTTTTTTTTTGTAATTTGCGATATGATTTTAAGTTTTCTAAGTCTAAAAACAATTTTAAAGATATTGGTTATACAACATTAAAAGATAATGTTTTAACGTATAATTTATCC